AGAATTGAATTTGAATCATTCATTGTATATTTTCTTCCCCAGATCATGTGCAGTTGATTGACTCACATTCTGGCATCCTAACAGTCTCTAGGGATGAGAGAACAGCAAGCCTATCTATTCTGCTCTCTGAAATCAGAATTCTCTGTGGCCTTTATCTGTGTGCGCCAAGAATCAGCATCTTAGAGACTGAATCCTTGATGTAGAAAAACATGTTGGAGTAAAAATTCAAAAGGCTTGCTTTTGTTGTAATTCCAATTTCATAGCATAAAAGACCTCAATTTTTCTTAATCTATTTTGTATTTTTTCTTATTATTTTGTCTGCTAAATCCAAAAAATAGTTTACATCTGTTTTATTTCAACTTTTTCCCCATGTCATCCTTTTAGCCAGACCCCAAATCTAAATGAGCTGTATACAGTTAGAATTGACTACTTAAATGGAAGCTGTGGAGAGTCACAATACATTTTACATTAAATTACTTGTTTTATAGTATTTTGAATGTTTATTTCTCTCCTTTCTCCCTTCCTTCCTCCTTCTTATCCTTCTTCCTTTTTTTCTTCCCCCCCAGCCTCATTCCTTTGTGTATCACTGTCTTCTCCTGAACTCTTTGTGGACATTTATTTCAATTTTACATCAGTAAACTAAACAACCCACTTTATGAAGGTTAAATGTAACACTAAGAGAAGGGGGGAAGCTTTTCCTTGGGACCTAAAGAGTTCCCTAGACTTTTGACATGCTGTGGGCCTCCAGACAGGCAGCCTAACAACTGTAGACCTGGATTAGCAGCATCTGGAAACAGCTAGATTCTCTATGGAAATGTGTGGAAGAGCAGGCTGATTTTTGGAGTTAATGTTTTATTTAGAGACAGCCAGTGTCTGTCAGTCACAGCATTGGCCTAGCAGTGTGTGCCTCAGTCACCTTTATTTTCTTCTCTCTTCACAGTCTCAGGTAATTAGGGACCAGGAGAGATTGTGAACTAATCAGTTAAAGTCTACCTCAGCCAACAGGCAAAGGAAGATGGAAGGTTACTCTTCTTCCTGTCAGTGTTTCACAAATGTTTCCCTTGTTCACTGTATTATAGAAAGAACTGAGTCAGGATCCTCCCGTTGCTCTAGTAATCTGTATAATCTTAACCTGATAGTTCCACAGGCTTCCATCCAGGGTCCAAGAACGGAAAAAACAAAAAAAACAAAAAAAAACCAAAAAACAAACTTGCATCAGAAGATTTATCAAGAAGTGAATTTTTAGCTGGGCGGTGGTGGCACATGCCTTTAATCCCAGCACTGGGGTTGTGTGTGTGTGTGGGGGGGGGCAGAGGTAGGCGGATCTCTGTGAGTTCAAGACCAGCTTGGTCAACAAAAGCTAGTTCCAGGACCGTCTCCAAGGCCACAGAGAAACTCTGTCTCAAAAAACCAAAAAAAAAAAGTGGACTTTTAAAAACTCATGATAATGTCTCTGTGATTCCACTCTTGGCTATCACGTCACTTTAATTTTCTTAAAAATCAGCATCCAGTGAATAAAGTCTATTTTCTTCCTTTTACTTCTTTCTTCTCATCATTTAACCCTTATTCCTTCCCACCTCTCAGACTTTTCAGTATTGCTACTGAGTTTATCATCCTTTTATGTGTTGAGCCCTTGTTCTTTTACCTATTCTGCTATTGCTGCTGTAGTCTTCCCTTCTGGAGTGATCTACCTGTCCTTAGAGTATCTATGGTGTCCAGCAAGGAGAGGGAAGTCCCTCCAGACACTGGTCTTCCCTTTTCCTAAGCTCATCACTGCAACATAACACAAGAACATAGAGCCTGAGTTCACAAAAAGAAAGGTGTTGGAATCCTTTATCTTTGGCTTTCTGTACAACCTTTTTATTTTGCTTTCTTATTTTGTTCTATTTTATTTAAACAGAGAATGGACATTCTTTGAAGTCTCTCATGACCACTACAGATGAACCCAATGTACCAACTTCCCATCAGACTATAGACTATTAGAAGATGTTTACAGTTTGAAGGAGGGAAGCAAACCTAAACTATGTCTGAATTACTAAGAACTAACAGATGATGAGCTTAATCGAGATGTGTACATTTGTGGCCACTACATGAGTTTGATATGCTTAACTATCAGGGCATCTAAAATTTGAAATTAATATTCATGGTCTTTGCTTTCAAATTTTTATTTTTCTGGTCATCAGATGTTAATGGTGTGACTGTTGCTGTCAGGACTTATTCTGTTACCAAATATGGTAGAAATTGCTGCAACAATGTGAACTCTAATAGGCAACTTCTGACATACAGCCTTGAAAAAACTCCACATACAAACTGCAGGGAAGGCATTTAGTTTCTATTTCTATGTGTGAAAGCTTCCATGTAAGATTTCTTTATAGACACTTACAAATTGATAAATTTCAAGTTCTCTCAAATAACATGGTTTTTTTTTTGTACCAAACTTGGAACAATCTAGCAATTTTAATTTTCTATAGTCTTGAAGATTGCTTAAGTTATGACTCTTCTTTTAGTTCAAAGAGAGCAAGGAGTTATGGTTTTTGCTGATCACGGACTAATGGAAGCTGTGTTTCATATTAGGATAACCTAACACACTCAGGTCAGACTTCTCCAGATCAGAAGAGAGAACCAACCTCCATGAATCTACTTTATTTCCACTGAGTCAGCCAAGACTTCTGGCAGGCACGGACATGTGTAGGAAAGGGAGAGTATCTGGAGTTTTACAAATAGTTTGTGGTGAGGACAGGGCTTTTCTCCTTGAAAAACAGATTCCTTGTCTGTATGATGTTAATATAGTATAGGCTTTATTCAAACTAAACCAAATTGATGAACACAAAAAAAATTCCAATTTAAGATATATGGGCCACTTAGATGTGACTGATAATTTTATTTGGATGTCTAAAGAAAATTAAGACACTAGGAGGGCGTATCCCCTTTTCTTTTATTTCCTATTAGCAGACATCATTGCAATATAATGTCCAGCTGTGAACTTATGAAAGGTTATTTTTCAATTCTTATATCATGGAGTGAAATAAATTTTGAACAAACGTACTTTAAAGCATTCTGTGACCACTGATAATATATGGTTCACTAATGTGTGGTTGAAAAAAAAAACATTTATTATTGAAACCTTCCACATGAATGCTTTTTAAGATGGCAATGATTTGTTCCACAATTAATTATTCATCAAGAAGCATTAGGGCCCATGGAGTGTATGAAACAGATCATTTGAATAACACACATGAGCTCAACTGCATGATGTATTTCTTTTTTTCCATATTGGTAGAAAGAAGATAATGAAATGAACGGGTCAGATGCTAAGCTCATTTACACTTTTAGAACAATTCAATGATATAAGTAGTAGAAATATTAAGGGAAAAATACAATGTTTGAAGGAAGTCACAAATGTATAGATTTCTGTCAGACACAATGTGGGAGTAGGATCAATTTTGTCATTGTGTCATTTTTTAACAGTACACAGTATTTTAACACTTACATAGGTCTATGCCATTATTATATTTAGTGTTTGATATATTTATTTCTCTATTGTTCAAATACTAATACATTTCAGTTAAAAGTTTGCAACTACTATGTTTTTATATGGGATATGCTTGCCATTGTGAAGAACATTTGAGTATACAGCTATCTCAGGCAATAACTCAGAATTCATTTCATTAGCTTAAAAAACTGTAACATTCAAACACTAAATTGCATGTATAATCTATGAACCAAACATATTTTGTTTAGTTGTGTTAACTATTTGGTGTGATGTATCTGCAGTAATTTTTATTTTGCATTTTAATTTTTACATTTTAAGTTTACCTTGTTTGTACTGAGCTTTTTGCACACAGATTTTTGATTTGTAGCTGCTTGGCAGGGTTTCGTTGTTATGTAACTGTTGTTCTTATAAAAAGACATGCTGTACATTTGTCTTGTGTGTTTGTCTTCATTCCATGTGTTCCATAGGATATGTCTTTACATGAAGTTATATATAAAGAATAACAGTTTTCAAGTCTATCAGTGTCTCTTTCACCATCATTATCTTCAGCAAGTAAGTGCCATCAGTTGTTACTTTCAGTTAGCCTCAAGCAGATTCTCACTATGACGAGAGGTAGGTATCTGTGGTGATATTTTGTTTGTACAAATAAAGCATGTCGGAAGATCAGAGACATGAAGGAGCAAGCCACAGCCACGCCTTATGTCGACAACTTCCCTGCTGAAGAGAGGGAGTTCTGTTCCTCCCACCTATAATCCTTTTTCCGCCCAGCCACCTCACTTCCTGTCTGTGTGTACAGACCTCCAGGCCTCTATGGTTAGCTAGTGGCAACCTCCACCCTCTGACCTTCAGGCATGCTTTATTTGTACAAACAAGATATCACCACAGGTATGTTAAGTCAGTCAGTTATTTTACCTTTGCATCTTATCCTGTGGTGTAAAGCAGTTATTTCTACTAGATTTGGAAAACTTGTTTTCCTCCTTCTGTTGTATTCCAACCTGATTTTTGTTTGCTTGCTTGTTTTACTACTTAGAGATTAATTTTTCATTTTGTGGAATTTACTATAAAATAGAATGACTTTTTCAGAAATCATTTTGTGTAAATTACCACAAAATAAAATGAATATAAAATAGAGTGACTACTATAAAATAGGATAACTTTTTCAGAAGAGAGCATTTTCCGGTCACCGTACCCAATCTCCATGGAGGGCTAAGCATTTGCTGGTATGGCTCACTCAGAGCCATGATCACGATCCAGTATCCAATTCATTTTTATCCATGAAGAGAGATTTGTGTGTTTATGTTTGTAGCATTTGAAAAATGCAAGTCTGAGACTTTCTTGTCTGACTTGAAAAGCTGAGACTGCCTCTCCCTTCTGATTATTGATATTTCAAGTTTTCAGTCCCAAACGATGTCATTTGTGGTTGACTGATGTCCCTTGTTTTTAACCTGCAAGTGTGATAGAACAAAGTTGTAACATACTGAGCATTTAAATGTGTCTTTTCTTTTAGCCTGAAACATTTGAGCATCTTTTTACCAAGCATGCAGAATCAGTGATATTTGGTCCTCTTCTTCTGGAGCCTGAACCCATTTCAGAAGAAATCAGTGTCGATACAGCTTGGAAAAATAAAGATGAGATGGTACCAGCAGCTATGGTCTCGCTTCTTTTGACCACTCCAGACCCTGAAAGGGGATCTATTTGTATTAGTGACCAGTGTAACAGTGCTACCTTCTCTGGGGCTCCAAGCACCCAGGTAACCTGTGAGGATGAGTGTCAGAGACAACCCTCAGTTAAATATGCAACTTTGGTCAGTCACTCAAAAACAGTCGAAATTGATGAAGAGCAAGGGCTTATACATGGTTCTGTCAGCAAGTGCATCACCAGTGAACACTCCCCACTGGGAGAGTCTTTCCCTAGCAGCTCCTGGGAGATAGAGGCCCAGGCGTTTTTCCTATTATCAGATCAGCAAACCAACACGATTTCACCACAACTTTCATTCTCGGGGTTGGATGAGCTTTTGGAGCTGGAAGGAAATTTCCCTGAAGAAAATCATAATGAAAAGTCTGTCTATTATTTAGGGGTTACCTCCATCAAAAAAAGAGAGAATGATATGTTTTTGACTGATGAGTCAGGAGTATTGTGCCCATTCCCAGCCCACTGTCTGTTTAGTGATATTAGAATCCTCCAGGACAGTTGCTCACACTTTGTAGAAAATAATTTGAATTTAGGAACCTCTGCTAAGAAGACCTTTGTACCTTACATGCCGCAATTTCAAACCTGTTCCACTCACAGTCATAAGATATTGGAGAATAAGATGTGTGACCTCACTGTGTAATCTCATTCAAGAAGCCTCCAGTTTTGTGTTCCAGTAGAGTGTATCATGTATAATATATTCTTTTATTGTTGTGGGTGTGGGAGGCAAGTGTCAGAGTCTAGTTCAGAAATGAATGTTTCCAAATTAATTGTGTCTATCTTCTCTCAGTAATATAGACAAAACATATAAGGAAGCCTTCATGAGTCTAGTGATATAGATGGGCTCTTATTGAATTTACTGCCAAGCCAGCCTAGGGAGGTCTCTTATTTCTAACTAAAAATAAACCCAGAAAGTAGAACCTCTTTAAGTATCTGTGGAAAGCATAAATTCCAACATTATATTGACACCTGAAAGAAAGGCTTCAATCTAAGATTCCCTAAGATACAATTGTTTCAAGGGTGTGTTTGTCTTACCTTGAATTGTCTGTGTTGTGCAAATTTAAACTGACTAGGTATCCTTGTGTGCTTTGGAAGTATGTGATGTGTTTGTACTTTGTGCCACCCGATTGTGTTATTTGAAGTATCACTCCATTAAATGTTGACTATAAGTAGAGACTTGAACCCTACTCTAATAAGTTACACTTTTGAAGAGGGACGGGTTAGCTGATCCCTTTGCAACAAAGCCAGGACCCATGACAGAGGATGTAAGCAATTGTTAGAATGACAGTTTCATCACCAGTGCTTTGATGACAGCATGAGCAGCTTTGAGAACATGATGCCAACCTTAACCAAAGTACACTGAAGTGATTATTTTCTGATCCATTGCCAAATGTCACTGTGTGCCACTCTAGAATCATCATCCCTCCCCATCTCCCCTGGGATGCTATTTCTCCCCTCTGAGTATCATTAGATAAAACAACCACTGGGCTTTACAGGTTGCATACTTTAACTTTCTTACTGCAATTATTGCTTGAGGAGCCTGCTATACATTCCCACTGTATCATTATCCCCTGTCAAGGATGAATCGATTAAGTCATTTGCTCAAAGTCCCAGACTTAATGATTGATGGAACCAGAATTCAGTTTTATTCACATCATTTTAATACTACTGGTTGAATTTTAAACCCAGCTCTTACATTGCCATGTTTAAAATTAAAGCAACTGATGCTGTCAAGGAAGACCCAGTGAGAGAAAACAGGGTGACGGGTGAATAATTGAGACTTAGTCTTGGACTTGAAAACTGATGTGAGGTTGGACTTGAAAATTGATATGGGGATGTATTATTTATTTCGTCATTTGATTTAGCAAGATGATTCAAATACAGCTTAGAAAACAAGAAGTTAGGTTAAAAAAAAAAAAAAAGAACCCGCACGTTCAGGTGTTCAAGTTCAATGTCAAGAAGAATTCCCAGAATATCAGTATCATACAGTGATTGCTGTAGTGTTTAACAGTATGCTTATGTATGGCCAAGCATCACCAGCATTTCATACTAACCTGAGACAGGGTTGTTGATTTCACCATTTACCTAAGTAGATCCCGACATGTCGTCTCTACTTCCAATTAGAGCTTTATGGATGAGCAGGTCTAAGTGATAAGACAGACCCTGACCCTAATTAGATTTTTTCAGGCTTTGTGTTCAGTGAAGCCATCATATGTCCTAAGTTAGTAAGATGGCTCAGTATTCTACCATTAGCTGATGCCAGTTTTGTCATGAGAAGGTAGAAGGTAAAAAGAACACTAATTGGTGTTCTCTGTAATGATACGGGAAAATTTTGTTTCCACTGTTTTTCAGTAACAAATTATTACATGTTGAAATTGACCTATCTATCACTTTTTATATTTGCCTATTGGGTAGAGCCTATTAATTGTAGGTACAGTATAGGAGAGATGGGAAATTTAAACTGGAGATTATCCACTGAGCATGTCCACTGCGATGGCATGGACTTGGGCCCAGAACAGTGAGTAAGAGAAACCGGTGGATATTTTAATCAGGTCAGGAGTGAATCTGGTGTGAGGGCCACAGTGAATTCATCATTGGTCAATGAGATGCTGCCGTTTTAAGATAGAGGAATCTAGGGACAGCATGTGAATGGGATCCCATTTTTCTGTGCTGAGATGTTTGCTTCTAAAAACAGAGGAATCGCATTAGAGAGACTGACTGACATCTGCAGCCCCATTCAAACAGGGGCGGAACTGCAGGCTTTGGCCCACAGGATAAGACCAAGTTTATTGCCAGTGACTTAGGTTCTGACTTCCACTTGTGAAAGCTCTTTTAAATTTTGTTGTTGTTTAGTTTTTGTTCGTTTTTGTTTTTTGAGACAGGGTTTCTCTGTGTAGCCTGTCTTGGAACTTGCTTTGTAGACCAGGCTGGCCCGGAACTCACAGAGATCCGCCTGCCTCTGCCTCCTTAGTGCTGGGATTAAAGGCGTGCACCACTACCACCTGATCCACTTGTGAAAGTAAATTTCAATATTGCTACAAGTTAGTCACTGGGTCTTCGAGATAAAGTTCCCAAGCCAGAGGGAGAGCCTGGACTTGGAGTGGGGATTTCTACCCTTAGTCTGGACAGTTCTGTAACTCTTCTCATCTTTTTTCCAGTAAAATTAACCCCTTTCTCACAAATGTCAAACCTATGTTTACATTCCTCCTGTAGTGTTGACTTTAGCTACCAAGAGCTGTAGGAAAATAAACTTTAGGCTGGAAGAATGAAGAGGTGTGCATACAGGGAGCCTTGGCAGCATCCTGCTGCATGGAGGGCTCCTGCATCGACTCCGCTATGTCACTTCCAGGGGATGTGACACACGTCTAATATCTGGTGATCTTCAGAAGAACTTTGTCTTTCTTCATCTTCCGAGACTCATCTTGAGAGTTGTTTTAACCAACATTCTGAAGTAATTCCTGAGAAAACCCAGTCTCACACTCTAAAGCACAAAATTGAAATCGGCCCCTTGTAGTGTGACTAAGCTGAGGCAGCATGTGAGACAGGCCTCAGCATGGTCACAAAGCATGTGAGGAGCCCTTTGTGAGTAGGAGGGAACCCAGTCAAGGAGTTTTACTCCCTTGAGCCTCTAGTTTAAAACAGTAAAGTGCTTCTGCACTCATCATCAATGGTGAGTGAGCCACTTAAAATGCCACTGTTTACAACTGAGACACCCACCGTGAACATGCATTTGTATGAGCCCAAGAAATGGATTCCATGGATGGGGTTTATAGTGAATGAATTATTTTTATATGAAATTTATCAATATTTATTTTGGAAAGTTGCTTCTGAAAATGTCTATTTTTCAAAATACACTGAGCATGACTAACTCCAAATTTAATCTTATAAAGTTCTATGTGGCTTTGTTGTAAGTAAAACATTTATTTTTTAAAAAATGACCTGAGGATGAAGTTGGAAGATGGATATTTAATTTTGTAGTGAGATTCCTATATTGTACATCTCCTACTCTTGGAACTTGTGTCTAAGTACTGGGCAAGGAAGTCTTTCTGTTTCATGACAATTTGTATGATAATAAATGTTATAAACCTAAGCATTGAGATATGGATCTCCAATTGTGTTATATAGAATTACCCTGCTTCTCTTGTAAGTTCCCAAAGGTCTAAACCTTACCATTGTAAAGTCATGTGGTCACACATTTTCATCTTTCTATGGTACAGAATCAGTGTTAGGATTCTGAGAGGTGAGAGGGAAAGGAGAATTATTGGGGGCTTATGTTATTTGGCTATTTTATCCATAACCTTAATAGTTTATGTAAATAGTTAATATAAAGTTTCTATCTGATGTCGGCCTTTGAATGTACTTCAGAATTTCTGTGAATATGTGCCTTACTTCTGGTGGGAGTCTGGAAACTCCAAGATCTAAGAGCCTCTTCAGGGCTCCTGAGCCCCACTTACACCCGGGCTCTGGCCTCATTGCTACCATCTGTGATGAAAGATGATCTGCTTTAATCCCCCACAAAGATCGCCCATCTTATCCCATGAGAGCTCTTTGTTTGGGTCTTTATTCTTCTATTGTAATGATTCATGATCATGCTTTGTTACTTAGGCATCTAGAAATTTTCAGTTTTATATTTTAAACTGTGTTCTGACATTTCCTTTTTTTTAAATTTAGAAAGGTAACTTAAGAAAACTTTCAAATAGAGAACTCTGATAAGAGTGATGGCTTCCATTGACTCTCAGTGAGCAGTTATGGATCCCCAAACCACAGCATTATCACTACACCATAGCAGTTGTGTCTTTTCAGGGAAGGGATCAAACCTAGTGCCTTGCTCATGCTAGGTAAGCGCTTTTCCACTGAGATCTATTCTCAGACCCAGCATGTGTCTTTGAAGTTTAATATAAGTAGGATTACTATGTAAGTATACTAATATCCCAGTGATTACTTAATAATTACAATGCATCCTTTTTAAAAGAAAGTACAAAGACTTAGGGACTGAAGAGATGATGGCTCAGTGGCTGAGAGCACTGGTTGGTCTTGCCTAGGACTAGACTTTGGTTCCTAGAATGCACTTCAAGTGTCTCACAACTGCCTTAGCTGCAGCCCCTGAGGACCTGACACCCTCTTCTGAACTCAACAGACATCCATGCTCACAGGCTCATACCCCTCCATATACTTAATAAAAACAAATCTTAAAGATGAGTCTCTTAAACACCATAATGATTCTTAACAGATCAAACTTAAGGATATTTAGATTGAAAGACCCCAGAAGGGGTACTTTCGTAGAAGGAGACCCGCACCCAGGAATCAGCGAGACCACACTTGGATGCAAAACCGCAAGAGGTTTTATTAGAGACGCGGGTACCCGGGGCGACTTAGCTTCTTTGTGGCTAAGCGCACTGAGCCAAGGGAGAGAGGTCCTTATATAGCAAAAGCGCAGTACAGAAGCGGAAAAGCATAGTTACAG